TCCAGGGCAGATTAATCATAGCACACCCATATGTACGCCATGAGCCAAGTCAACTTGCTGCAGTGAAAAGGGAAATACTAACGAAGGAGGCTCAAGTCCCATTGGCCAGACGCTGCCGTAGTATTTCACACGTACAGTCTCACTGAACGGTCCCGACGACCCTTTGAGATGGGAAGGACTATCACATTTTTAAATGAGGAAATTGAGTCAAGCAGAGGTTAAGGAACTTCCCAAGGACCCAGTCTGACGACAGGGTGGGGGCCTTAGCGTTTTGGTTTCCTTGGAGTTGAAGCAGGTGAGGGGATGAGGCCCCCCAAGGATGGAGAAGGAGAGAGAGAACAGAGAAAGAGCAACAGCTTAAGAAACTGAGGGAGGAGGAGAGAGGGGTCCAAGGGAGGACACGGAGGAGGAAGCGGTCGTGGCCGTCGTTTCCAGTGGGAGAACCTCAGAGCTAAGCTCTAGGGCTGGAGGCCCTCTGGCCTAAGCCAAGAGAGGGCGGACAGAGCCTGGATCCCATGCACGGGCCCCCAGGTCCCTGCCACACAAGTGAGGCCAGAGCAGTGGGCCTGGGATCCACACAAGGACATGCCTTCCACCTCCACAACCCAGGGGATCTAACAACTCAGCAGGGAGAGTTCTAGAGAGCAGCCAGTGTGGATCCTTCACTTTACAGTAAATGAAACAGAGGGGCTACGTGATTTGTCCACAGGCACCCAATGCAGAGTGTGTGATTTTTTCTTTTTTTTTTTTGTCTTTGCCTACAATCACCCATCCGGTAAGGGAAGAGGCGGGACTAAAACCCAGGTGTCCCAGAATCCAAAACTTTGTCACTGTCCTTCCTACACAGTCAACTGCTGAGCCAAATTCTAGAGACTTAGAAGACTACGAGGCTCACCTGGAAAACAGGGTTAGGGCCTCAGCCGCAGGAGCCAGGTGGGTGGGAAGGCACTGCTTGCATAGGGAATCTTGCCAGGCTCCCGAGGAACACGCATTTGCCTGTGGGTTATGGGCATGAAATACAGGAGGCACCCCCATGTTCTTTCTCACTCTTTTCTTGAACAATCTGGTCTGGCATTGACTGAACAAAATGAAGAGAGACTTCTGGGGGAAAAAGTAGAGAAAGCCTGGAAGCCAGAGAACTTTTGTACAGATATTTCACAATATCTGGTCAACGGATGAATAGCTCCCGGGATGTCCTGAAAACGTTCTGTATGCTGCACTCTACACAATAGTCACTCTGATGATATTCAGAAGCATCTTCTCGTATTGCCTTGCTGGCTGTTAAAATTTGACACTGTCCCCTCCTATCACCTCACTCCCTGTCTCCTATTCCTGGGACCCTCTGGACTGTCCCATGAGCCAGCAACTAAAGGTTCCTGTGCCAGCAAGGGGGCCTCCAGACTCTCCAATAAGTTCTTATTGGTCAGAGCGTGTGCAATATTATTCGTTAAATATTTTTTCTAATGTTTACTTCTTTATTTTTGAAAGAGAGCATAAGCGGGGGAGGCGCAGAGAGAGAAGGAAACACAGAATCCGAAGCAGGCTCCAGACTCCAAGCTGTCAGCACAGAGCCCGACTCAGGGCTCAAACCTGTGAGACATGAGATCATAACCTGAGCGGAAGTCAGACACTTGACCGGCCGAGCCGCTCAGGTGCCCCTATTTGTTAAATATTTTGAATATCACCCTTGCTTACAAAAAACTCTGCAATGCAGTTTGACTAAGTTATGGAAAATTAATAGTGTACTATATGGCATTGCCATCAACCCAGCACAGTATCTATCGAGAACCCACTAAGGGTCAAGCCCTGTTCTAAGCACCAGAAAAAAACCATCAGAGACTAACACCTGACATGGGTCTGTGCAGCGTTCATGAAGCTTCACGTCTAGTGGGGAAAGTCCTGAACTCAATTCCGTGCGATCATTAAACAAGATGCTATGTGATCTAGTGGTTCTCAATGGGGGGTGGCACAGGCCCCCTACGGGGCTTTTGGAAATGGGGGGAGACATTTTCAGTTGTAACAACTGGAGGCCGTTACTGACTTTTAGTGGGAATGCAATGGACACTCCAGCAAAAAAGAATAGTCATTCTACCTAAAACGCCAACAGCATTCAGATTTGATAGAAAATTGTAAGCAATCAACGTTGAACGACCGTCAGACCAATGGTCAGCACGTTGAACCGCAGCCTGCCAGAGTTCTCTGTTGTTATTGTTGCCGCTACTGTTGTTGTTTTATGCTGAACGTGGGGCTCAAACCCGTGACCCCAGGATCAAGAGTTGTATGCTCTACTGACTGAGCCAGCCAGGTACCCCAGCCTGCCAGAGTTTTATAGGATACTTGCCATTAAATATTTGGGCAGAATCTAAGGGGCAGAAAGAATTCAAGGGGGGAAGTTCTGTTCACAGAATCCTACCCTATGGTCAAAGTATTACATATAACAAATGCCCCTCCATCTAAAGTCAGGCAAAGGGTGCTGAATTCTAAACATAATACATGCTAAATATATATACATATTTACTGAACACTATACTACAATAGCCAAAGACTAGATTACGAACATTGAACTTTACCCCAGTACATGTAGAGTTAAGTCCTTTGCCTGCTCCTTTTTTTTTTTTTTTTTTTTTAAGTGCAATGTGCCTCCTAATCCTTGTGGTTTCATTCCTTACCAGCCAGAAAGCATTGTCTGAACCCACACACTTTTCTCTGAAGCCTCCTTTACGGTTCCTCTGTTTCAGAAACAGCAGAAACAGGAGTATTATTTTCACCCTCGGCTTTCTCTTAAAGTAAGTAAAGACCTCTTGCCCCTGACCACAGGGCTGGGAGCTGGCAAAGCAAATTCTAGGGAAGAAAAATAAACAGTCTAGAATGCTAACCCATCGTTCGGCCAAAACTGAAAAATATGTTCCCGGCCTCACTCCCGATTCCCACAACGCCACTATGGGAGCTGTGGCTTATATATGGTAGACGAGGAGCAGCCAGGCAGTGAACAGCTGCTGAGCGGATGAACACATGCAACGGCTCACACACAGCAAGGTCTAGACACTACCTCAAGTCACCGAGAAGTCAATTCCACGCGAGGCCCAGAGGCTGGAACCTAAAACTCTGCCCTGTCTTCTATTCGATATTCAATAGATTTTCATTGATGACGTTATAGGAGCCATGCCCCTGCTGAGTTCTTATGTGCCCAGCACTCTACGAAACTTAGCTGTCCCTGGATACTTTATTTACCCTTCATGACAATGCTGAGGAGTAGAACTCATCGTGATCCCCATTGTCCAGATAAGAAAAGTGAGGTAATGAGAAGCGAGCTACCAAGGGACGGAGCAGGTCTCTGGGCTCCAGGGTTTAGCCGCCCAGCTCTCCAGAAGGGAGGGAGGTGAGATCCTGACTTCCCATCGGCTGGAGCCCGTGGGGTTACAACACAGCCCGCTGGACAGTTTTAGACGCCGTCCGGGAAAGAGGGGAGTTGAAGAAGCTGTTCTGAATCCTGGATCGTCACCACCGAAGCACTGTACCAGACATTGTGCCAAAAACTTCATTAACGACGCCCGTATAACGAGTCCCGGAAGCTCTAAGGCTGCAGAAGCTAGACAGGCCTGAGTGAAGAAGGAGGGCCCGGGATGGATTCCCAGATAAGGTGGCATCTGAGAGTCTTGAGGTTAGATGGAGATTTAGCGAGAGAGGAGTGGCACGTAGGGAAAAACACATCACCACCTCCTGCTAAAAGAAAGGACGGTGAACTGCCTCAGAGGAAGAATGTGACCCTTCTGGAAACTCATTCCTGCCGTGAAGAGCCAGGGGCCAGGGCTCACCTTACTAGGAGTAATCAGCGCAGCCCAGAACCACGGCTCTGGAGGAATTCTTTAGAAGACACTCCCAGGGTGATAGGAGAGAGCCCGGGGCTGGCCTCCGTGATGACAGGAGCTCGGCGGGTGCCAAGGACCCAAGGGGCAAGAGTGGGTGTGCACAGGCGCTCCATCAAAAGAGGCTACTCCTATGCCCCTTTGCACTTACGGGATTATACAACAGAAGCATGTACATCTCTCCAGGGGTTCAGCTTTCACGGGATCCTTTAATCGCTCCAAATTGGCACTCAGTCCTGATTTACTCATTCATGTGTATTTTAGAGTTTCTCACACGGCTCCCCTGAGAGTCCCAGGCAAACCCAGGGTTCTGTTCAAGATGAATCATTCAGAATCTCCAAGGGGTTCGCCTGGGTCTCCGCAGGACATGCTGAGAACAGGTGTAGGTTATCTTTGAGTCAGGGTAGCCTGGGAAACTGCAGGGGTCACGGAGGGAAGAGGGCGGAAATACCTGACGAGGGTGCCCAGATCATCAAAGGGCCGGAATTTGGGATGTGCTCATTAATAGTAATTGATGGATATGGCTCCTCGAGGATATTCTTAGGGAAGTAGGAACAGCAATATCCTTGTTTTTTTATAGTGCTAAATAGTTTTCAAAAGCTCGGTTTATAGACTCTGTGTTGCCAAGGATATTGGCATGAATTCATATTCATCGTGAATCGTCTTTTTTTAAAAAGATTTTTTTGATGTTTGGTTTTTGGGGGTGGGGGGTGGGGGAGGGGCAGAGAGAGACACAGAATCCGAAGCAGGCTCCAGGCTCCAAGCTGTCAGCACAGAGCACGACTTGGGGCTCAAACTCACAAACCGCGAGTTCATGACCTGAGCCAAAGTCAGACGCTTAACCGACCGAGCCACCCAGGCACCCCTCATCTGATGCAGGTGACACAAACCCAACTTGAAGTAGTTAAAAAAAAAAAGGGGGGGGGGGGAAGGGGATTATTGGCTTTTCTAACTGAAAACTCTAAGGGGACTTCAGGTATATCCGGATCATGCAGCTCAGACGATCATCAAGATTTGGTCTCTCCGTGTCAGCTCTGCTTCCCTACATATGGGTCTCACTCTTGAGCAGTTTGCTGCCACATGAGGGACCCTCAGCAACTCCAGGCTTACACATTCATAAGAAAGGGAAATTACTTTCCAAGAGCTCCAAGAAAGATCCTGAGATCAAGTCTCTTCACAGCATGATTTCCAAAAGTAGACGTTTCAAAAAGTCACATAGTGTCACTTCCTCTGGCCATGGTTCCACCCAGACTGGAAGGGAGAGAAAGAGACCCCATGCCTCAATGGGAGAAATGTCAATGTTACCATAAGAAGACCACGTGGGCTGGGATGTGCTGTCCAGCCATCTCTGGAAAGTACGGTCTGTAGGTGGCTAGTGTGCACATTCAGGTTTGAGAAGCCCTGCTCTACACTAATTTTAGGCTCACTTAATTATTTGATATTTTGCTTTCCAAAGCTCCTACTATGTACAACGGCCAAAGAGTCAATACATTATTCCTACTGTACACATAGCAAGCAGGAAAACATAGGATGTTTTCTAAGTGATGTTTTCCCTCATCTGTTCACCCAGTAAATAGCCACAGAATGTCTGTCACGGGCAAGGCCGTCCCCGAGGGCAGCAACAGAGTGGTAAATAAGACGACACGGCCCCAGTTTTGTGAAGCCCAATCCAGCAGGGAAAAAGTTTCCATAAAACAACCGCAGTTATAAAGAGCGTAATGACAAAGGAAGCACACATGCTCTGGAAACCCGAAACAAGGAGTGTTCACGTAGTCTAGGGGTGCAGAGAGGGCCTGAAGGAGGTGTGGCAGTTAGTTGGCCAACTGTCACTTTCTCTTTAAAATTTGCAACAACAGCCCCTACCCACATAGACACAACTTCCTCTTTCCCAGCTTTATTTTTCTCTGCAGATCTTTTCTTCATCTGATACAATATATACGTACTGATTTTTCTTAATCGTCAGTCTCCCCCAGCTACGACACAAGCTCCATCGTCTTGTTCACTGTGGGAGCCCCAGTACCTGTACAAATGCCTACCTAACACATAATTATCACTCAATAAATACTTGCTGGATGAGTGCACAGTGTTCCAGGCAGGGGGACTAGCATGTGCAAAGGGCCCGAGGGGTAAAAAAAAGTGCAGAGCATTCTGGGAACTAATAGGGGAAGTCCAACAGAGCTGGAACATGGAGAGAGAAGAGAAACAGAGTTGGCTACCAATACCCATTAAGGAATCCACCAGCTGCTTAATGAGGGCCTACACTGTGCTGGGCACTATTCTAGCCATAAACAATGTATCTAGTTTGAGTAGACAATAAAAGGGCAGAACCCACTGATTGCCCTCAGTCAGTAACTAGGATTTTTATGAACATGTGGTCAAAACCAGTTTGTAAAGACACTATGGTAGTCATTGCCATAAGCTTACAAATGTTCACTGTGTGTTCCTGTGTCACCTGGCCTATGTCAGCTTTATAGTCTTAATTCTCCCAAGAAGTCTTGGAGCATAGCACTTTCAATGGGTGAAAAGCAGCCATGATGTACCCACCATTCCCTCAACCCTCCTGGCACAAAACTGATACACATAAGTGTAACTCTACAATTTAGTACACATTATGTGTTCCCACGTTAACTAGTTACTGAAAAATAAAATTTTGAAAGTGTTCAATTCTATCAGGAACCTCGCATACTAACAACTCACCTTTAGACTAGAGGGCTAAATAGAAATATATATATTAAATTCTTAGCAGAAGACATTCAGAGATGATTGGTCTTTGGACAAACTCGAGTTCTATCTGCATACAAGTATTTGCACACGTGGTTGGGTGACGGGCGACCGTGTAAAATCTGGACCCCAGAGCTTCTTGTGATCCCTGTGGATGAGAAAAACAACTAAATCAGCACTGAGGTGCACACATGAGGAGGACTAGAAATTAAGCTTGAGTGGAAATGCCAAGAAGATCTAGCTCCTTGACACCTTAAGAGAAAAGGGATGCCTCTCCACACCCATTCCAATGGTCCTGAAGGTCTCCCAACTCACACTCTTGGAATTCTCCATTCGATGTGAGAAGTAAGGCTTCTGCCTTCTTAAAATCTCTGAAATTCTTTGCAGGACTAGCCTTACTCCCCACAGTGGATTTTGGTCAAAAGAGAAAGAAGCAAATACCTGTCAGTACACAGTGAGGACATTTGAGGGAAAGTCACAGACGGAAGCCAATCTTGATGTGAAATTGCACTGGAGGCCCGTCTTGGCCTCTGTGACCCACTAGGCTGTAACAGACACCACTGTCACCACCATGACCACCTACATCACCCTCTTGAAAGTTCATCCCCAGGAGCTGCTTGCCCTGGGGTAAGGCTGGTGCCTGAAGATAATGACGAGGTCAGGACTCTCCTGGATGCATGCAATCAACCCCAACACAAAGTAGTGTAAGGGGGAAAAAAGTATTTGTTTTCATTACTTTAAGGTCCATGGACCTCTGGATTCAGGAATGCTGGCTCCTGGGCCTCAAACACTGTATCACTGCCTTCAGATCTCTTGCTCTCTCTCTCTCTCTCTCTCTCTCTCTCCATCCATCCATTCATCCGGCCAGCCAGCCAGCCAGCCATCAATCCATCCATCTCCATCACTTTCCAACTCTCAGATTTACTTCCATTTGCACATTAGCCTGCTTCCCTCATCCCAAAGATGGCTTCCTCGACACAGTCAGGGAAAAGAGCCCCAAGAAGCACCAGGTTCATTGTCCTTACTGTTCCCCACGCCAGAGGATCAGAGATCCTCCCTTTCTCACCATCCATATCTATCCTTAGTGAGAACTCTGATTGGCCCTGTTTGGGTTTGTGCCCCCTCCTGGACTCTTCATGAGGCCCAGTAGGCTGGAGACCTCTCACTGGCCTGAGGAAGGACAGAGCCATGATTAGAGCAGGGGAGGGGTGACTTTTCCAAAGGAAGACTGAGTGGCTGTTATCAAAAGACAAGGAATGTAAAAATAACAGGAATCCTCCACATTCCCCAATGGTTACTTGCCCCTGGGCCAGAAGGCAAGAACCTCAGGGCTCAGTCTAAGTCTTCTCTGGGGCCGAGATGTCACTGCAAATGACAGTTCCATGAATCCCTCTTCCTACACCTTCTCAATGCCCACACCCTACAAGTGTTAAGGCAAATGCCTTCAAGCCTTCAAGCCTTAAGGCAGATGCCATCGCCCCTGTGAGGCGTTGTTCGATCGCCCCCACATCAAGGGTGTTCGTCCTACCCACAATCATCAAGCACTTACTATGTACCAAGAACTGTGCTAAGCCCTTTGCTTATATCTCATCTAATCCTCACATCTCCATGAGATAAGCACTATTACTGCCCCGAATTAGTTTCCTAGGGTTACCATAACACAGTACCACAAACTGGGTGACTTCAACAACAGAAATTTATTGTCTTACAGTTCTGGAGGCCAGAAGTCCAAAATCAAGATGTTGAACAGATTAGTTCCTTCTGAGGGCTCAGAGGGAGAATCTGTTGTAACTTCTGGTAGCTCCAGGCATTCCTTGGCTTGTCGGTAACATTCTCTTTTGTCTTCGTATCGCCTTCCTTCTGTACGTGCCTGTGTCTGAGTCCAAACTTACCCTTTTTATAACTACACTGGTCATTTTGGATTAGGACCCAGCCCAATGACGTCACCTTAAGTTGATCATCAACAAAGACCTTATTTCCATATAAGGTCACACTGACAGGTACTGACAGGGGCTAGGACTTCAACCCTTGTGGGGGAACACAATTCAAAAAACACTTTTTTTTTTTTTTTTTTTTTTTTTTTTTTTTTTTTTT